AATAGAATTTATTTATTCAATGATTAAGTTTCAATGGTAAAGGTGTGGGTGTACTGTGCATCAGTCACACTCACACCCACCCTCAAGAAAAGAAGTTCTTAATTCTAAAAGAATTATTTCATATGATATTACTCTTCATTTAATAACTTGTGAACGTCTAATAAATATATCGTGCAGACTTCTTTGCTATTTTTCTTGCACTATATATATTTTTCATCGATATTAGTATCTATCAACTATCATTTATATTATCTTCAACACAAGAGAAAAAAGGAAAGCAAACTCTACCAAGTGTATATTATTCCTTTGCTCAACCATGTTAAAAAAAGTTTATTCAAAACGAATGAGAATTGATGAAAAAGTAGCAGCATACTTAAGATAGCTTTGGCTTTCATGTAGATATTTCGCAAACTTGAAAACCATTGTTTGACAAGATTTTCTTTCATTACATCTATGTATTTAATAGTGAGTATTGAGTGATCAAAGCCATCGGTTGTGCGTGAATAAATACTCAACTTGCTTTGATATCGTAAAAGATAATTATGTTCGTTTTTTTCTGTTTTAGACGAAAGAGACAAAAAAAAAGAACGAATAAATACAAACGACATCAAACTAGTTGGGCGCTGTTTCGATTTATGTATCCTTTACAGGATAAAACGGCCTTCTTTTAAATAAACCTTGTTGTTGTTTGGTATATATACTGATTGTCTTTTTTGATAGCAAATAATCTAATAAATTTGTATTCTAGATTATAAATATATGGAAACTTCATCAAAAAAACAACCAATTGAAGAAATATATGATAAACGTGAACAACGTTTTCAGCGTAGAAATTCTCGTTTATTAATTCAAGATTCAAATATTTCAAAAGCATCCCAACCCATTATTGGTTATGCTGAAGAAGAGCTTTTATCATTATCTGATGCATGTCAACCATTAATTATTATTGTTGATGATATTTTAAAATATGTTAAAATTGCTTTAGAAAATACTTCAACAGAGCCACCAAATAAATTAACTAAAGATGAAGCAGCATCAGTTCATATTTATACAATGGAATGGGAAGATGGGCATAAAAGTCTTTATACGATTCTTAATTATACACTTCGAATTGGTGATCGTGATCGTCTTAAACCATGGTACAAATATCTTAAACTTTTTCTTACTGCTTTAGCTAAATTACCATGTGCACCACCACAAACAGTTTGGCGAGGAGTTCGTAGAAATATTGCTGAAGAATTTCCTCCGGGAGCACAAATAACATGGTGGTCATTTTCATCATGTACAACATCACTTAATGTACTTGAAAGTGATTTGTATTTGGGTAATGTTGGTGAAAGAACTCTTTTTTCTATTGAACTTATTAATGGAAGAACTATTAAAGATTATTCATATTTTGATACTGAAGATGAAATATTAATGTTACCAGGAACATATATGGAAGTACAATCACAATTTACTCCAGCACCTGATCTTCATATTATCCATTTAAAACAAATGGTACCAAAAGATATTTTACTGAAAACTCCATTTGAAGGTATTTAAATCAAGTTTTCTTTTTTTAATTCTTATTAAAATTATAAATATTTATTATATTCAGGTGCATGTCTTTATCTAAAACCAAAGTAAGTTTTAGTTTTAGTTTTTATGTCTTTATTCATCATATCTTCAAGGCGTCATTGGTATCTTAAGAAAAGAGTCGTCTTTTCGGTTATTATAGCTTTGATTCTAATTATTATTGGTTCTGTACTTGGATCACGAACTTGGAATCATTCACCAGGTATGTTTTTTTCATATTCATTCGTACTCAGACTGAACATTGATAAAAAATTTAAAACTTTTCAATTTTAGCCCTTTTATTTTCAAACAATACAAAAATTATAAATAATTATTCTCTTACGGATATTCTTCATACCTTAAAGTTTGGACAAAATTATTCATCTATAATCACTGGAACTACTAATGGTACGATTTATGGAACGAATATTTATGCAGAAGGATCAGATTATGGAACAGCAGCTGTTCATGTAGGAATTTTACGTAATGGTGAAACGAAAAATATAACAATTATAGTTCTTCCTGGTCGAACATTGTATACAGCTTCAACACAAAATGGTATTTCATCATATTCATATGGATCTTGGTCAAGAAGTTATTCATTTGAAAATATTACATTCGAATCTAATGTTACTCCACTTAATTTTGCTTATTATACTGGAAATATTGGAGATAGTCTGTATTTATCAGTTACAGGAGCTATGAATGGACGTATTTATGGTACAAATATTTATACAGATGATTCAAATCTTGCAACAACAGCAGTTCATGCTGGAATTTTACATGTTGATGAAACTAAAAATATAACAATTAAAATTCTTCCTGGTCAGTCATCATATGAAGCTTCTACACATAATAATGTTACATCGTATTCATACGGATCTTGGACAAGAAGTTATACATTTATTTAATATTATTCAGATAGTCAGGATTTTTTCATATGAAGACAAAGATTTATAAAGTTATTTAAAAAAAATGAAACTAATCGTTCTTTATATTTTGTTTTTGTAAAATGATTGAAGTAATTCTAACAAGAAA